GAAAGCAAACATCGTTCACAAACATCAAGTGAAAATGATGAGAAATTAATGAAAATTAAAAGCAAGAAAGTTAAATTCTGTACGTACTGCAAGAAAAATTTTCATACTGTTGATGAATGCAGAAAGAAAATGAAAAATAAAAAAAGTCAATACAAAGTAGACATGATTGACAAAAAATCCAGTGAAAACACTGATGAAATGCTGCTTGCAATCCATTCACAAAAACCTGAATCGTCAAATGAAGCTGAATGGAATATGGATTCCGGAGCAACATCGCATTTTTCGAATGAAAAAAGTTTGTTTGAAACACTAAAACCAATGAATGATTTTGTGACTGTAGCAAATGGTTACAAAGTTAAAGTCTTGGGAATCGGAACTTGTAGAATTCATCTAAAAAATGAAAAAGGAGAAGTAACGACAGCTTTACTGACGAATGTACTGTATGCACCAGATTTGAATGGAAACTTCATCTCCATCAAATATTTAACAAATCAAAGGAAATTCAAGGTGATCTTTGAAGGCGAAAAATGCAAAATTTTCCTGAATGAACGTGAAATCGCAGTTGGCTACTTGAGCAACGATTTATATTACATAAATCATCAGAAAATTTCAGCTATAACTCATCGTAGCAATCAAGCTGATAAATGCATTCATGTTTGGCATAGGATACTTGGTCATCGCAATATTAACGCAATTAAAATTATGGCCAACAAGCAGTTAGTTGATGGACTGATCATTTCACCATGCAGTTGTTCTTCTGAATGCGAAATTTGTATTTCTTCAAAAATGTCACGGAAACCGTTTGCAAAAGAGAAGCCGAAAACATCAAAAGACATTTTGGATGTAGTTTACAGTGATTTGTGCGGTCCATTTCAGACACAAACTCCTGGAGGAAAACTGTATTTTCTCACATTCATTGATGAATATTCACGATACACAAAGGTTTATCTACTTCATGAGAAGAGCGAGGTAAATGCAACGACCAAAGAGTTCATCGAGCTGATGAAAACACAAAAAGGCAAAGTTCCAAAGGTTTTCAATACTGATAGAGGTGGCGAATACGTGAATAATGAATTGCAGAGATATTTACGTAATCTTGGCATCAAGTATCAATACACAGCACCTGATACACCACAATTGAATGGAATAGCAGAGAGAAAAAATCGTTATCTTGTCGAAATGATTCGCTGTATGATCAAAGATGCGAAATTGCCAAACACATTTTGGGGAGAAGCACTTATGACTGCGAATTATAACCAAAATAGAACGTTCACTCGCAGTACAAATAAAACGCCCTATGAGTTATGGAACAATCGAAAGCCGAATTTAGGAAAATTAAAAATTTTTGGCAGTTCCTGCTATGTTAAAGTTCTCAAACACAATCGTCGCAAACTTGATGATACATCAACAAAAATGATTTTCCTGGGTTATCATAAAAAAAACGTTTTGAAATGCTACAATTCAGCCACCAACAAAGTTGTCTACAGTCGTGATGTACAATTTATTCGTCAAGAATCAGAAGTTACATTTGATTTCAAAACATCAGATCAACTTATCGACAAAAGTGTCATTGAAGATTCATCGGGTAGCAGTTCATCGTCTACTTCACCAAAATCATCTTCGAATGAGTCCACTGATTCAAGTTCTAAAGAATCATCTTCGATTTGGGATGACATTATTTATTCTGATTCTAATGACACATCTACTGCAGAACAGCGTGAACCACGAAGGTCAAGCAGATCCAATAAAGGGGTACCACCAACACGTTATGGCTATGGAATTACATCAAATTCACTGAATTCAATTGTAGCACCATTGAATTTTACTCAAGCTATGAATGATCTTAACAAAGAGAAATGGGTTGATGCAATGCAAGATGAATTTAATTCACTAAAAAAAAATCAAACATGGTCGTTATGCAAATTGCCTAAGGGTAGAGTCGCTGTTGGATCAAAATGGCTCTACACAGTTAAAACTGACGAAAAAGGAAAAATTGATCGATTCAAAGCGAGATTAGTTGCGCAAGGATACTCACAAAAATTTGGCATCGACTACAACGAAGTATTTGCACCAGTCGCAAAACAGGCAACATTTCGTATTCTTCTATCAATTGCTTCGAGAGAAAATTTCTTCGTCAAACATTTGGATGTGAAAACAGCTTTCCTGAATGGTAAACTACAAGAGACAATCTACATGAAGCAGCCTGAAGGTTTTGAAGAAGAAGGGAAAGAGGATCATGTATGTCTACTTCAACGTAGCTTGTATGGACTCAAACAAGCACCGAAGTGTTGGAACGATGAAATCAATCAAGCACTAAGCAAAATCGGCTTTAAAAGGAATCGTGCAGATTCTTGTCTATATTACAAAAAGATGGACAATGGCGATGAATGCATGCTGCTGATATACGTCGATGATATTTTGTTTGTCTCTAACTCAACAAAAATATTAGAGAGTGTTCAAAAACAAATAAGCGATTTATTTGAGATAAGAGATTTGGGTGAAGCGAAATATTACCTAAGTATTGAAATCAACAAAATTGGTAATATTTACAATGTGAGTCAAGGAAGATACATACAACAACTGGTTGATGAATACAACATGACTGAAGCTAAAAATTCGAAGATACCAATTGATGTGAGTTATGGGAAAACATCAAATGAAGTTCCATTGGAATCAAATGAAGTTTATCAAAAGTTGATTGGTAGTCTTCTCTATTTGGCAATAAACACGAGACCAGACATTAGCGCAGCTGTTTGTATTTTATCACAAAAGGTATCAGCACCATCAAAAGAAGATTGGAACGAATTAAAAAGAGTACTCAGATATTTGAAGGGTACAAAAGACTACAAATTATATTTGGCTGATGATAAAGAGAAACAAGAGCTATTTGGCTATGCTGATGCAAATTATGCTGAAGATCGAATTGACCGTAAATCAAACAGCGGTTACATATTCAAGTTGAATGGTGGCACAGTAAGCTGGAGTTGCACAAAACAGAAGACGGTTTCTTTGTCATCAACTGAAGCTGAGTTTTATGCATTGTGTGAAGCAGCAAAGGAGGCATTGTGGTTACAAAATCTACTGATTGATATTGGACGACAACAGGGAAACGGAACAACGATACATGAAGACAACCAAAGCTGCATGAAAATGATTGCGAATGAAAAAATATCTAATCGAACAAAACATATTGATGTGAAGTATTTTTACATTAGAGAGATCATTAAGCAGGGAAAAATTAATTTGAAATATTGTTGTACCGAAGAAATGTTAGCTGATATTATGACTAAGCCACTAAGTAATATCAAGTTTTCAAAATTGAGAAATAATTTAAAGTTAAACATTTGATGAGATAGAAATTTTGATTATTTTAAAGTTTACATTCTTTGAGGGGATAGTGTTGAATATACTATTTGTATATTTATTATTCAAATAAAAGTAAACTCTGTATTATATATCATTGATATATAAGTAGGCTTGGATTTAAATTTAAGAATTTATGTTCAATAAAGATTCAGTCTCATTCTAAAACTCTTCACGATTACTTCGTATCTCAACACAAGTAGGTGTTCAGTTGTTCTCAGACTCCCATTATTTTTGCAAAAAAATGGCAGTTTGCCTTGATCGAAACCCCGAAAATTGCCTTTTTCGGGTACTTCCTGTACAAAAGTGTCATTTTTCAAGGTTTTTCAGGTCCTCAGTCGGAGGCTTATGGTACAAAATTGGTAAATCAAAATGGGCTCAAAATCAATCCGAAGCTTTGTCTCGACATGCCAAAACTTTTGGCTTTTACAGATCTCAATTATCTTGTCAACTTTTTGAGATAATCGGCGAACAAAAAACGCGGACGCGAACGACGTCATACGCACATCGCTATTTTGCACATATTTCATAGTAAACAACATGTTTTTGGGGGTAGATAGGTCTTGATCGATAGAATTTCATCCCATCTACATTGCCTAGTGTACAGATATGTGCTTTTTCAAGTTTGGCGTGACGTTATAGTGGTCCGAAAGAGGAGATGTCATGAAATTTTGGCTAGTAAAACCAATACTTTTCTTAACAAACAAGTTTGCGGAAAGGTAATAACAATCAGGCAATTAACACAGAATTATTCAAATCTTAGGGTTTTAAATGTGATTAAATGTTTCATATTGTATGCATATTGTTTGCGTGTATTGTTTATTTCGTCATTCGCGTCTGTTGTCGTCAGCTGCGATTCAGTGTACTATAGTCGATCGTGCGTACACTTGCATGTTAACCATGGACTATACGTATCAAATATGCACGAACAAAATGCCTAGTGTGTTTTGAGTGATTTTCCTCTCGGTAACAAATAAGCTCACAATAAAAATTGGCAACCAAATAGTAGAAGAAAGAGTGGAATAAATAATCTAGAATTCAAATCCAATGAAAAAATTAGAGTTTGACGCACAAAAACGAATGCTGTCATCAAATTCGATCTTAATTTAATCCATTTGAAGTTCCAATTTTAATAAAGCGCTTGCAGCACAATTTTCGGGTTCAATCGTATATCGTAAACAAATCCATGACTAATCAGCACCATTTAAGGCTTGACCGTTATTATCTCTGAACTCTAGAGAGTTCTATCTATTTTGGCTGTTTCATTTTATGATATGTGTTTCACTTGAGTATCCACCAAAATGGAGCAACGAAGGCAAAGAAACCACTTATCCTGTAATGCTAATTCTGTCATGGAGTGATTCAAGCGGCAAGCTGACGTAATTTTATCAGAAAAATTTATGATTCACTAAGATAAAAAATTTGAGATAATTTCTATCAAAACATTATAAAAATGGAAAAGGGCGATGATTGCTCAGCAACTTGTACCAGATATGTACACTTTGTACAATGACGCACGATATTTCGAAATTCTTGATTCTATTATTATCATCCATCAACAACAACAAAAAACACGACTTGTTTTGATGGAAAAAGGGAGTACATGAACAGTTCGAATGAATCATGATTATGTTAAACTCGCATTAATTCAACAGTGTTTATTAAACATAGCTATTGTTTGAGTGTAGCACATCTTATTTTGAGGTAGGTTCAAATCAATAATTTTATTTATTTAAAATAATAATCTTTTCTTAAAATAATAATTGGTCATTGTTATTTGAAGTTCAAATTCTGAACATTTTAGTAAATTAGTCGAATTTTTAAACCAAATTCCCATTTTTTTCATAAAATTTTTCAAATTTTCCCTATTTCTCTTTTATCATTCCTCCGCTATTTCTACATAACTTCGACATTTTCAACAGTAAAGAGAAATCCATCCACGATGTTCTCCTCAATCGTCCTTGCTGCCAAGCGTTCGTTGCAGCATCAAAAGTCCGATTTTCGTTTGCAAATCTTTGCGTTCAAACTGAACGAAAACTGTTTGTGCATCGGGCAAACGTCCGGCTTCTATGAGTTCATCACCAATTTCTCCGGTTACACGGATCAATTGGAACCGCTGTGCAGTATTACAATGCTTCCGCAATTTGCTTCAATCAAGCACTTGTACATCATACGTTTTGAATTGACGCTGGCTCAAATTGAGCATATCAAACCGATTCTGCCACAGTTGGAAGTGTTGCGAGTGCAAGATTGTCGATTTGAAAGCGATTTCTATGGGTCTTTTGTAAAATATTGTGTAAATTTAAAGTGGCTTTGTCTTGAAAACATCGACCTCAAGCGGCCAGAGTTTCTGGTTGAAAGTGTGCAGAATCATTGGTTACATCAGGAATATCCATTGCTAGATCACTTTAAATTGACACCAAGAAGCGGTAATAAAATCATCGAATTGAAACGATTTTTCGAGCAAAATCCCAATATTCGCAGTTTTAGCATCAGTTCATTTTGTTTGTACGAAAATTGGCTATCGTTGATCGATACAAAGGCAAACTTGGATGTTTTATTCGTTGATTTCAATTGTTGGCCAAGAATTTACCTCGATTCGATACGTGATGTACTGAACTTTCTTCATCGACGAGGCTTCTACAAAAAATTGCATTTGAATTTACCAAATCTTCAGAATCTCCCGACTGATGACACCGCTTCACTGAAAGCACTCGAGAAATTACACATCAAACGCTTAAAACAATTTGAAAACCTATTTCTTCTAATGAAAGTAAATGAACTCGTCGTGTCGGCAATATCCGAATTTACAGATGTAAAGGTGTTAGCAATGACTTTCGTTGATCTGAAACGAATCTATTTGAAAATGGCCACATCCGATGATATCATTGCATTCATTCGATATTCTCCGAATTTGCGGGAAATTCACGTTGAAACCCTTGGACATGGATCACATTTCTATGGCAGAATTCTTGATGTTGTTTACTTAAACAAAGAACGCAAAAAATTGGAGAAAGCACAAAAAGTGAAAGTCTTCGTCAATAAAAAAGTGGTGAATGCATCAAAATCGGCCGTGGATGATCATGAATTTAGTTACGTTAACTTGGAAAAGATCAACTTTAATGCATTTCATCAGAAATTTGAGTTCTGAAGATAATGCTTTCAACTTTACTTGAGGCACTTTTTTCAAGGCGCACGATTGCAAACGTTCACGATCCTCCCTATATTTTATCGTGCACGATTTCAATCGTAAGCAATCGTGAGCAGAGCGTGTTATGAACTGATGTCAGCAGCACTAACTAACGTCAGCTGCTAATATCAGCTGCTGACGAGTATGCGTTGTGTTGTTTTTGTGTTTTTGGCACCCAGAAAAGAATACGAATTTCGTACTGCAAATGCGTTAAAACAACGCAACGCATACTCATCAGCAGCTGATATCAGTAGCTGACGTTAATTAGTGCTGCTGACATAAGCTCATAACACGCTCTGATCGTGCGCCTTAAAAATACTGCTCTTAGTCTAGTAATAAGTTACATGAAAAAAATAATAAATCTGTTTACTTGTTGTTTTGTGCATCATCTTTTACCCACGAGTATTGTTTATGCCATATGTTCAACGGTTAACAAAATAAATCTGTAGGGCTTGTATCACAAATATTTTACAGTTTCTTTCTTTATTTAAATATGATTCATTTTATAAGAAAGTCTTTTCAAATGGTCATATCGCGCCGAAGCCATTTTTATCCATTTTCAGTCGTTTGACTGATTATCATGAATGAGTAACGAGGGCAAATTACGAATTTGTATTAAACTCCGCATTTGGATGGTGGTAAGTAAGAAGAACCATCATAGAATTATTTAAATTGTGGAGTATTCAACTTGAATTGGTGTAGTTTTCAGTGGAAGGCCAGCGAAAGAGTCGACAGCTCTCAATAATTATCCGTATTATTAAATTAAATAAGGAAAATTGAAGAAGAAAAATGAAATTGTTTCTATAAACAAACGTGTGTATTTTCACCATATTTCATGTGTTGTTTGCCAAATATGTGACTCGATCCGAAAATTGGCTTTGGATTGCTTCGAAAATTTATCCAATTTATAGGATCAAAACTGACAGACTTAAGAATCTGTGAACCATTTTCCATTCGATTGTGAATTTCTTAAACGATCTAAAAGAAACAACCGGGTGCCGTATCCAAAATAAAATGAATCTATTGAAATCCTCCAAAATTGTTCCACCCAGTGCTGTAGAGATAATGAGATCAATTTCAAAGTTCTTACATTTAATAAAATCAACAAAAAAAATTGCACGCCGATCGAAAGGAGAGTCACCGATCTTCAAATTGGACATCGATTGTCTCGAAGAAATATTTGAATGGTTATCTTTGGACGATTTGGTTTCATTTGGCCAAACGTGTTTATGGTTCCGTCGAGCGGTCGGATTTTATTTCCGTCAAAATTATCATTCGATGGAAGTGTACAATTCCAAAGACGGCATTTACACTGAGCAGAGTGACATTGGTCAATTGCCACGTTACATTTATCTGACAGATTTCGATAAATTCATTGAGAATCTAACACACACGTACAACAGTTCCGTACAACAATCGATTTATCGGCTGAAATCAAGTCGAATCCAATATCAATCGCTCAATAAAATGTCATTCTTGGGTATCACACTGAATCGTAGTCGAATGGATGGCATCAAAACTATCCTGGGCAACATTGAAATTGTGAAAATGTACGATTGCCGATTTGAAGGCGATTTTTACGAAAACTTCTTAAAGCTTTGTTGCAAAAAGTTAAAACGGCTTCAGATGCAAGATATTGATCTCAAAGAATATGAATACAATGTTGGATGTCTTCCAAGTCGAGTCGAAAGAAGAGAATGTTTGGAACATCATTGGCTGCTTAAGCGGTATGAATTGCTTCAACATGTTCAACTAACCCCGTGTAAGGGAGTCATAATTGACGAACTACAAACATTTTTTAAACAAAATCCAAACGTTCGCCGCTTCTCAACCAATTCTCAACTGTTGTTTCCGAATTGGTCCTCGTGGATCGAAACGAATGCGAAATTAGACAGTTTGGCTGTTGACCTAAACTATTGGCCGAAATTTTATTTATCAGCTATTTGCGATGCAATCAATGCACTTTACGATGCGACATTTTTCAACAAACTATTTTTGTACGCTTCCTATTTTGATAAAATATCCAGTGTGCATATCATTATGTTACATGCTCTTGAAACTCTCTACGTGAAATACCTTCGAGATAGTGGAAGTTTGCAGTTTTTTACAAATCTACGAGAATTGGGCATCTTTGAAGGATCAGACGTAACCGATATGGAAGCATTAGCAAAAAGTTTGATTAACATTGAACGAGTTTACTTGGAGTATGGAACTTCAGATGATATCCTAGCCTTTGTTCGGCATTCACCAAAACTGATGGAAATTAAAATTATGTCACTTAAGGAGAGATCTCACATGAACCAACGTATTCTCGATCTAGGGGCATTGGATCGAAAACGACAGAAACTGACTGCAGCTCGAAAATTATCGATTTACGTGAAGGAAAACGTGTTCCTGAAAACCAAATGGGCTAAGGGAAGAACTGACCATGGATTGATCATATTGAAACGAATTGAATCGTGCAAATGGGAACAACCGTTCGAGTTTTGAATAGGATTTTGATTTTTGTAATTTGTATTAGGTTTTTGATTGTATAAAAATATCCGTTTTCATTCATGTTTTCGGGCGTAATTGAAGTAAATTAAATTATTGAAGTTTTTTGCCACATAATTATTGAAAAATAATATTTTATTCAATGAAACAATTTTTAACGTTTAAATCGTCTCAATTTTATTTGCATTTACAATGAAAATGACGGAATAAATTTACATAACATTGTAAAATTTGATGACGAATATTTCCAAAATGAGTCGAGTCTCTCGAGAAAAGTATTTAAAATGGTTTAATCAACGAAAGACGGCTAATGAGTCATGGGCTGGTGAAATTTCGTTGAATCATAAAAAAAAATCAACGAAGCCTCCATAGGGAGTACAAAGTGTATCAAAGCCAAAAATAATTACACTTAGCATAGATCACCGGCTTGAAATGCGTGTTTTGAACTTTTAATAGGAGCTAAAAAAAATCTTTCGATTCAATCTGTGAATCACATTTTATCAACTTGATACCACAGTGAGGTATGACGCCAGCTATTTACTTATTTAATCAGAAGTATAAGTTGATATTTACTGGCTACTATTACTTTATTTCATTTACTAGACCAGAGAAGGCAAGCCAAAGAAAAGGAGGACAAGACGGAAAACAAAACGAACCGAACAGAAAGAACCAAGAAGTAAACAAGATCAAAGGAGTAAATGGAAGTGGAAATAGAAGTCATGTCAAAAGAAGGTTCAATAATATTGACAAAAAGAGACAATACACTATCGATACAAAGTAAGAGTTACGTCGATTTTTCCTTATTCCGAGGTATGGCATTGAGTTTGCTATCGCGTTTAACGCTTTATCTTCTGATGAATGTTTATCAGTTTGGGTAATCGATTCGGGGCCTCACAAAGCAATAACACTCGACACTCGATACGGTATTGGAATATTTTGGAATCATATTTTTACGCTGATTTATGATAGTTTTACGTCGATTGGTTTTCTCACATTGCGTCGCCTACAAATCCATGCTATATTTTTCGAAATATTCACACATTCGATGGAGGTGAAAGAGCACACAAACATATGTATTCTTTGTAAAAAAGGAATTCAGAACACTCATTGACAAGCCTTACTTAATGCACCAGTTAATAGATGACAAATAAAATTTATAACGCAAATAATGCCACTTGTAATGGAATTTTCTGACGACGTTATCTCTGAATGACGTGTGGTTGTGATAAAAAAAAATCTCAATTGAATTGGTCATGATAGAGTATATTCCTATAAAATGGAATAACAGTCACACAATCCGCTTCTATCGTTCAAATGAGTGTACTTCATTCTCATTGCCATAAACAAAATTCGTTCGTGACCAGTCGCACGTTTTACTTGAATTCAATATTCAATACACTAAGGGAGATTCAATTGGCAGCTAAAGTGTAAAATTGCGAAAATCAAAAGAGTGAATTCATCTGTTTGAAATAAAAAAAAATTAAATAAAAAATTCATTAAAAACAATTTGCGCACGAATTCTTCAGTTTCTTTTTTTAGTTTCGTCGAAAATTTAGTGTGAAATTTTTTTTTCGTCGCAAAAAATTTCCTTTCGCCAAACTCAAAACCAAATTTGCACATCGTTAAATGTTGGAAACCGTGGGCTATTTCATCAAAGAGCAATGTAGGGTATTAGTGGATTTGGACGTACAACCGCACAGGTGGGTTCAAACAAGAAACCGAAGCAGATCACGACGAATCAGCAAACAGCAGGAAAACGATTGGACCAGCACGATATCAACACTATTCGTGGACGAAGTGATTCTGGCCAAAACACCCGAATTTTCCAATTTCATCGAAACCGAAGCCGACGATGATTCATCCGTTGATTTTAGCGATGACTCGTCCATCGATGAGTGCAATGATGTAATCGAATTGTCCGATGTTACAGGTGAATTGGTGCAACCATCGATTTTAAACTTAAACGCCAAATGTTACGATCGGATATTTTCTTGGCTATCATTGAAAGATCTACATTCGTTGGGTCAAACATGTAGGCGATTACAAAATATAGCTGGTAGACATTTTCAGCAAAATTATCCGGCCGCACCGATTCGATGTGAAAACAATGGCATCTACAGCCCGAATGCTGGTCAAATCAATGGATTCGCTCCATTTTTGAAGAAAATATCAATTTTTGGTAGCAGTACCACACGATTACGGTACATTTCATCGAATTGTAAACCACTTAAACGACTTCATCTTGATATCACATTAACTGGACCGAAAATTAAGTCCATCAAACAAACACTTGGCCAACTTGACGAGATAATCATTGAAAATTTCGAATTTACCGATAAATTGTTTAAACGTTTACTCAAGCAATGCACAAAACTCAAGCGTTTGGCCGTTCGTGATATTCATCAGAAAACTGAAAACAAATGGCTATATCGAAAGTACCCGAAATTAGAACACTTTGAATTGACGCCATGGGAAGTGTTTGAAATGGTGGAATTGAAAGAATTTTTCGAAGAAAATGCACAAATTTTATCGTTTGCCACTAACGCAAATTGTCTGTGGGTGAATCGGAATTCATTTATTGGATCTCAAGTGCAACTGGACGATTTAGCCATTGAAATTGATTCGACCATTGAAATAGACATTGGATCATTTTGTAGTCTATTGGATGCGCTATACGAACAGGGATTCTATCGACGATTACATTTATATGTGGAAAATGTTGATCAAAATACCGTGCGTCATATGGCCGCATTGCATGCACTTGAGAAATTGTATGTCGCCAGTGCGACGGCCGATACGGATTTGTCGCCGTTGACTAATCTCAAAGAGCTTGGCATTCATATTGGTTCTACCGTTTTACATTTGGATGAGGTAGCGAAACGGCTTCGAAAACTTCGAAAAGTTTACTTTTATTATGCATCATCCGATCAGATGTTGCCTTTCATTCGCTACTCAAGGAATTTGAAGCAAGTCAAAGTACGAAATCTTGAAAGTGGAACACATTTTGATGAAAATATTCTGTATTTACCGGGACTGAATAAAGAACGGGGGAAACGGTCAAATGCACAAAAAGTCACCGTTTACGTGGAAGAAGACATTTTTTTAACAACCAAGTGGACCACAGACAAAACCGACTACGATTTGGTCAGTATAGTACGCGGCGAAGCATACGAATGGCCACATCATTTTCGACATTATCTTCATTAGTTCACGTCTTTTGAGAGACTTTCATATTTCAATACTTACCTCTTAAATTGACTGTCCTTGTTCATATTCTTCATTAAATTTTTTTTTTACTTTCAATTTTGACTGATTTCAACAAGAGTAAATGAAATGTACCTACGCATTTAAAAATGTTCAATAAATTTTATATTGCTTTTGTTTTTCAAAGCCATACAATTAACGTGTTTGTTTTCCTGTGTGTGTTTAATGGGCATGACCATTACAATAAAATCGCAATACATGACATGATAAGTGTAATCAGCAAAATGACAACCACAAACGTTGTTAAGTGTAGGTCAAATTTGATTAAGAGTAGCATGTTGAGTGTACGGAATGTATAGCCACTGAATGGTAGTATCAATTGATTCTGTGAATGGTTTATGCTAAAAATATGATTGTTAGAAAAACTCGTGGGGATTAGACAAAGAGCAAGGACTAGAAAAATTGATAGACTGAGATTTTGATGTGAAAAACACAATGAACGGTTAAATTTGATAATTTTCAATTCATTTACAAGTGATTTCCAATTTATTGAGCTATTATTCGACCCGTTTGACTATCAATGGGGAGCCTTTATATAGATAAAACACAATTCACATTTCAATTTATTTCATAATACATTTCCCTTGATGCTGAAGACACCAATGTGGCACCAGAGTCTCGGCAGCGATTCCATTTTCTACCAAACGTTCTCGATGAATTAACATTCGAGAGATGGCTTGTTGCCAACCCGTTGTTGGATCAGTCCACAATCGTTCAGCCAAAGCGCTGAGACGAGGCCACGTTCTTCCATCTACCGATAAATGATCGACTTGCTCAGACCAAAGAGCAGCTTCACCACCCAAAAACTGCGATCGATATTTCGCATCGAAGTATCGAAAGTCATTGCTGTACACTTTTTTCCAATCTTTATACGGTGAACACCAATTATTTCCTTCTCTCATCCAATGACCAAATCCACAGTCGAGGTAAAAATTGTCGTAGTTCGATAGAATAAGCCTATAGCCTTTTTCAAGCAAATCCGTAATGGCCGACTCATTTTTTTGCCTCCAAAACTATGATCGATTGGATAAGATTTAAAATAAAAAAATCAAAATGAGTGCAATTTTGTTATAAAAAATCAAAATATTTGAGCTTTTCTTCATAAATTCATGAAAAAAACTCGAATTTATTTGAACTACGACCAAAAACGGCTGGAAAGAATGGTCTACATTGGTTACCTACCTGAATGATATACTTTTGTTTGTTAAGATGCTTTTCGACATAGTCCTTGCCGGTCAATGTACTGCTCCATACAATCGCTGGAATATCATTTCCAGTGACCCTTTTCAATCGTTCCAAGGCCTTTTGTTGGAAATAGCCCCAGAGCTCCATAAGCCCACTCGTATTCAATTCCAAACCATGTTCATGAATCCAATTGCGAATGTCGTTGCTAACCGTCCAACATTCTTCATGCACTTCATCACCGCCCATATGAAAGCGGTCTGGTTTACCGAATGCGTCATACATTTCACGATAAATATCTTCGAGGATGTCATACATGTGGTCCTTGGTTGGATCAAGTTGACCACATGCTGGCTCAGTACAGAAATTCTCCCATGGATCCATATCAAAGCAACTCGTCGCATTCTTCGTTTGCCAACCCTCGCCAACGTGAGCCGGCGCATCGAATTCTGGTAACAATAAAACACCTCGCGTGTATGCGTATTCGTAGATCTGATGGGAAAAAGACGAAATGTTTGAAATAATAAAGAAATTTGATGAAAAAAGGGTAACAAAATATGAATAGCATTTGAAAATTGATTTGAAATTATTCCTTCAAGCCACTGGGCTCAAACTTTTCAGCAATAAACTATTGAAATCATTTCACTCACATCCTTAATATTCTCAATGGTGTACACCTTTTCAGCAGAGTAAGCGCCAATTTCCGACATTTCCGGATGAGACTTCAACATCATAGGGAAACTCTGTGAATCACTTATGTGCCAATGAAATACGTTTAGTTTGACCATTGCCATACTATCTACAAATGATTATATAAAAATTCTGTTTGAATATTGAATAACTGCATGTTCAACATTCAAACAACAGCCGAGTCAAATCTCAGTCATATTATCAAGAAAAAGTTCTCTATAAAGTGGTTCAACCAGTTTTTTCAAACCAATTTACCGATGGTCCGTTTAATTGCTTCAACTGGATAATAATTGCGAACGGTATCGAGTAAAAATCCCCGATGTGGATAAGCCGGTTTATCATCAACTTCAAAATCGTCAACAATCTGTAGTTCCCCTCGAATATCATCGAAAACAATTAACTGTGAAATGGTTTCAAATGCGTGACGAGCGCCGAAAATGGTTTCAGCTGTAATATTTGCCACAATATCTCCGTTTCCTTCTTTGCTGGTTCGGATTTGATAATGTTCATTTGTGTCTAGGCCTAATTTTGTATCTTCGTTATCAACGTTAACTAAGATTTTCAAAAGATTGCCACCCTCTGTTAGGCTCGATGAATGCGGCACTTTTCGTGATATTTGTTTGCGCAAACGTTCCTCATTGATCCGCCAAAATTGATCATTCTTATCACTTTTGCTATGAACAGTGAATTGAATCTTCGTTAGATTGAGTGTAGTCAACGATTGTTCCAATCTTATTTTGCCATTGACTCGAGGCCACAGAGTCCCCGGATTTTCATCACAAAATAGCCGACATACAGCCAAACTCACTGCGGTTATTCCATCCTCTAATCGAATACGTTTACATTTGTGCTCTTGTTTTAGACAATCATAGGTCCAATATTCACTGAAGAAGTAAACATTGAATTCATTCAATTAAATAATCTTCGAAGATTTACTCTTGATTGGATTTTTCATTTATTTATATCTTTTATTCTATTCTTTTTATTCAAAATGAAAGAAAATCAATGAAAAACCAAGAAAAAAAAACATTTAAATTAAAATACCCGCATGCAAAACTTGAACAAAAAATCACAAAAAACACTTTCAAAGCGATATGAGGCACGATCATTCTGTTGACAAAACTGAAACCAACTGACACTCATATCAACAAAGCGTGACATTCAGTGGTCATCATTTTATCATTTGTTTACATCCGGAGTCTTTTGATAATTCAAAGATTTGAGACTGGTTTGGAGCGACAGTTTATTGTGTGAAATCTAATAATAGAACGACGTTTTTTTTTATTTCATGCACAGAGATCGACTACGTTAAGCTAAAACAAACAATATTTTTGATAGACTACGTGATCAGAATGTGTTTCAAATCATATTCAACTTATTTTTGTAACATTTGTGACAGATAAGCACACTTTGAATATGAAATTCCGTACTCGTTCACAATTTGAGACAATTTTTAATGATTGTCGATCGGACTCACAAACGCTATATAAGGTCATCAATACTTTAATCAATGACTTTCAAAAAAGGTCATTCACTTTGATTCTAGGCTTAGAATAACTTTAATATAAATATTCAGTGAAGTAAAACACTGTACAAAATCATGCACTCATATAACACAATCGAAGCGACTGTTTGACACATTGATTCCTGAGAATCAGTTGGACGTGACTGTTTTCAACATCATGTAATAAGTTATAATCGTCTTCAGCAACTGAAAAACAATCTTATAAATTAAACGTAGATAGATAATTGTCAAGGCTAATGAAAAATGTCGATGAAATGGTGGGACAATATTTAAAAAAGGAAGGAGAAAAAAAGAATGAGAAATAAACAGGCGGAAAACTCCCTTTGAAAAGTTTACCTTTGAAAAGGTGCTCAAGTTCAAAATAAACACATCGAAGCCGTGATAAAACAAGGGTCGATGCATATTTCCCATCATGAGTACAATATACTTTTGTAAATGTGTCGACAATCGTTGCCAATTCGATTCGTATAAACAATGAGCCATTTTTTCATAGCTCACACTAGCCAATTTGCCAAAGTAGCAGTAAACGAAAAGATTCGAAATATTCACTACAGCCGCTAATACAAGGAACGGTAGAGATAGATCTGGATGTTTGAATTCCTGTTAAGTTAAAGAGAACAGCAATTGTAAAATTCAAAAGAACAGATTTCTTAAATCCAAAATTATGATTTCAACGTTTTCGCCCAAAATTTCAAAACTTGAAGATTTTAAGAATAATTCATTCGATTCAAAGTCAAAAGAAGGAAAATTTATCATATTACCATGTCTATTTGGAACAACAAACAAGACAATGCAAGCATTGCACAAATGAGCAGAATCATAACAAGCAAACTATAAACAGCAGCCGATTCGAAAAACCAACTGAAAAATAAACAAATTTTAATGTAAAAAATACAGGATGTGTATAAAAGGTGAGACAACCTTTTGGCCATGTTATGAAAAATGATTAAATTCCGAAGATTTTCTTTATCACGGCATTCTTTCTGTGATTGTCCCATCTTGCGTACTGAAAGCCGGAATATTTTGTAAAACGCCTCGTGATGCACGGCCAACGATATGAATAAGAACATAATTGCTCCGTTCACAATTAAATATGCTTCACAAGTTAAAACACTGAAAATTGTTTCACCGACGTAACCCAGTGGCGTGTATTGGTTCCATGGCAATCTGGAGAGAGATAAAGAGATAGAAAAGGAGAGAGATAGAGGGAGAAAGAGAGAGAAAGGGATAGAAAGGTTTCGTTAGAAGAATTCATTCCAAAAGTCAACGCTGGTTCCAAGTGCTTCCCGACTTTAATTAAATTCTTATTTTTGAACTGTTTTTTTGATTACGCATCGTTTAAAAACAATATTACTGCTCCAAAGAATTTCAAAAGCAAATAAGATCTTCAAAATGACGCATAAAGAACTTTTTGGTTCAAACTTTAATTTAAGTCGAGAAGTGTTCCAAACCTTGAATGGACAAAAAACAGCAAACACATTTAATAAAAAAAATTATATTAAAAAGCCACTCACATCAATTTGAATTGCAAATACAGAATATCTCGTTGAAAGCGTTTGCGAAATATCAAACACATCACAGTTGATAAAACACTACCAACAACTGCAGCGCCGACGGCATTATACCCCATCGCGTACTTGAAGTACAATTTCCAAAGCCATTCACTTTTATCGTTCGCCAATTTGATGAATTGAAATGCTTCTGCATTGGTAACTGATACAACGGAAAAAATTCAACGTCATGAAAATTCTTAATGGACACATTGATTGGGTAACCCTAATTTGGGTTGTAATGATCAAAAGTGAATATTCGGTATCAAATTACTTGTATCGTAGATGTTCGTCATTTCAGCTAGGACGGCGGTGATTTTACGCCGTGAAAGGAGTGCAATTGCAAAAATATACAAAATTGGCATCCATGCGAATATTTGGTAAACTGCGTACAATGAACTTTCTAAATCTGTCGAATGAAATTTCAAAAAGAATGTCGCACTTGCTACCAACTGAGCGAAAATCATTCCACCAACTGCAAAACTCAAGGCAATAGAACGTATTTTCGCCTTCATACTAAACTTATTATCAAATGAAACTATGCAAAGCCACATTAGCACTCGTTGAGTGGTTTTCAAAGGTATCATGTTTAAAACTTCTAGAGACTGGAAATAAAAGAGTTGTTTCTTCCAAATTTTTTGAAAAAAAAATTTGTCCAAAAAAAATCAAGTGCTATTCCATGAAATGCCTAGCAAAAATCACAATGTTCTTCCCCAAACCACGTTTTGTACTTTCCCAATCTACACTTTTAATGCTCGATTTCAACTGTCCGGCCAAGCTTTTATATCTGTAAAATTTTGAACGGAATGTTCACTCTAAATATATGATTCTATAGGAAATGTCACATGTCTTTGCCGTATAAATTATGGATATTTCAATGTACTTCATGCCACATGCCAATTTTCGGTGATAGAAACAATATTGAAAATTCCTCAGTTAAAATGATACATAATAGCTTTATTTTTATATCCCGTTTGGAAATTGTCCATCAATCGTGATGATTGGTGTAATTAACAAGACGAAAAATGATGACGTCAAGAACGACTGGAAGTCCCAAGTGAAAAAAAAGTTTTGAAATGACAATTCGGAGTTTTTGTAACGAAATATCAAAGCCTGTGCCGGATTTCGGAACGTGCAAGCCGTGCATTTGCACGGGGCGGCACAAGTCTGAAGTAGAAAATTCAATACATTGGGGCGGCGAAAGAAAGATTTGCACAGGGCGGCACTGCTTTCGACCAATTTTCAGATCCGGCACCGATCAGAGCATATAGAGTTGAAAATATGAAAATTCACATTTTAATCTAGTTTTTTTTTTCATGATCAAATAGGTTCCTACTGGTTTATAAATATGCTGAAATGGTATAGATTTGATGTGACTTCAAATCAGAGCATTGAATCTGCTGTAGCGTTGCTGTTGAACAGTGGCTGTCAACAGCGACTATTGATTACGTTCTTGTGCATACGACACACTTTGGGCCCCGTGTACCAATTTGGTGCAACCAACTCTAACAGACATAAACATGCACGCACGTAGTACACGCATAACTCTGTCTGTGTGTATGCACTGGCGCGCGGGGATTGCAATGTGTCGCATGCACAAGAACGTAACCAGTAGCCGATATTGACAGCCACTGTTCAACAGTAGCGTTACATAGACAGCAGATTCAATGCCATGTTTCAAATGATTTTGTTCATAGCCTGTTGGTTGAATTCATGTATTCGAACAAATTGCGCGTTCTTTCTTCAACTGATGAACAAAATTCTTTTCACTTATTGGCAGTTACAACGTAATTGCAGTCCGAAGCAATTTGGTTACTTCTGACAGCTATTGACATTTTAAAGACTTCCTCCAACGATTATAATCGTCTATCTATGGCAATTATTGGAATGTGTCAAGTCGCTTGAATGACATCGTCATGGTTTTTGTGATTTGTTTTCCACCATTCAGCGTTGTGAAATATGTAAAACAGGTACAAATCAATGTCAACTTGTCATTGGCACATGTAAAACTTCTCGTTCACTTCAATGAAACATTCATACCATTCACTTCACATAATATCCATCATACCGTCGATAACATCGTTCTATCGATTCTTCATCGTTCAAAGTAATCATAATTTTACGAATTTTTGCGTGACTCATGAGTGTTAAAAAGAAATGGTCGCATTCAAAGCTTACAAAACAAAAGAATTGAATAATATTATTTAATGGTTAAAGAAATGTTTTTTTGAATTTTTGATTTGGAATGAGAGTTTTGATAGAAATAAAAATGAATAATTGTATTGGTATAACTGATTCATCGGTGGTATAACTGATTCATCAATGATCTCAAGATTTGAAAGGAAATTCCATTATTTCGAATTAGTTTGAAACATATTGTGACCAAGGCTAGGAGGAAAGAACGACACAAATTCAAAGATAACATGGAAATATTGCCAATACCAAACAAAATGTGCAAATGCGTGCAAATACGGCAAACGAATGCTAGAAGATGTATGCGTATTTGCTATTCTTATTCGTGCTCAACGATCACTGCTCACTACGAACGAGACGAAGCAACATGAAAACAACAACAAAAACACAGACGAGCGCTATGCAAATGCTTGCAAATGGACGTAAATACGGCAAATACTTCAAGTCGTTTTTCCCCCTAGGACCAATGGTGCGCGACAGAATTGCTTAGCAGCTAGTTTTTAATACTCTATCTGATATGCAAGCATATAGCGTGTCTTACAGTGACGCAGTATATAACCATCTGCTGCACACACTTCTCTCGCGCACACAACCTTTGCATACACAGCCATCGCAACCAACTCATACACAAAACCGAATCGAAGCGATGTGTGTGTGTGTGTGTGGGCCACACGCTATGTGGCCAACTGTGTACTGCTTCGCTGTAAAACACGCGATATGCTTACATATTAGTTATAGTATTAAATAGGCTTGCTGCTATGCAATACTGTCGCGCACCCTTGGATGTGACAAAGACTTTTTCCAAAGAATTAGTTACGAATTCAAATGAATATCACAAAATGGACCGAAAATAGCCACCAAAGCAACAACTATATGGCATACATAAATGCTGATACATCTGGATTGATAACAAACTCATTGCCTTTAAACTCCAATTTCATATCGTCTCTTTGTTTCAAAATTGCATGAGTTTGCCTTATCTGAATGTATGTATTATGCGGTTCAAATTAAGTACGGCTTGAAGTTCAAACCAAGTGCTAAGTGGGTGATGCTTTTTCGTTGAATCACTCAATTCTTGGAACTCAGGCTGATATCACTTCGAGCACAATCGTTACTCGTTTCGTGGCAAACAAAGTAAATTAGTTTGCTCAAAAAATTCATTCATTACGCGGCTTTTGTTGATAAATCTGGAATAAATGTAATTTTTGTGCCATTTAAATTTGGTTTTCTTTTAAATATTCAGTTTAAAACGAAATTGCTTGCTCAACATGTGCCGCTTAAATTAGTTAAAATTTGACCGTATTTTCGTCAAATTGATAAAATAATTACTAATTGGTTTCGTAATAATTTTCCCCTTCGTTTAGTGCAAATGGCATCAGTGTACAAATATATGTCACTATTGCGACGGCCAAAGAAGATCATCAAACTTCCGCCGTCAATTTACTCATTGACCCCACCATGTTTGAACGAAATATTTGATTACTTGTCATTGAAAGAACTGCATTCATTCGGTGTGACGTGTAAGAAATTTCAAAAAATTGCCGGCGAGTATTTTCAGAGGACGTATCGATCGACTGAGCTTCGTTGTGCATTCGATGGTATTTATGCATGTTCAGATGTTTCGTGTAACGGCCAAGTGAGCGGATTCAATCAGTACATCGAGCACGTATCAATTCATGGGAATCGCATTGCGGACGAAGAGCTCGATATTTTCAATTACATGAAGTTGAATTGCAATGAATCGCTGCGGAAGTTGCAATTACTTGATGTTGCCATCACAAAGCGAATGGTGAAAATGCTTCGGAAAAATTTGAAAAAAATCGAAGTGCTAGAGATTGATTCATGCACCATGAATGGGAAATTGCATCGTGATTTATTAAGATTTTGTCCAAATTTGAAGCGTTTGATTGTACGACGATTTGGTGGCAACATAAAATGGTTGAAAAAAGTCTATCCGAAACTTGAACACTTGGAAATCTATCAAATTGGCTTCAAAGTGGATCAATTGAAAAAGTTTTTCGATCGAAATAAAACCATTCGATCATTTTCGGTGGACGCAAATTGTCTATGGCAAAATGAGGATTCGATTTTAAACGCAAATGTTAAACTGGACGATTTAATTGTTGATATTTATGGTTGGGAATTTCGCATCGATTCGATTATTAGGCTACTGAATAGGTTGTATGAACAAAATTTTTATAAACATTTACACCTGTACGCTCCATACACAGATCAACCGACCACCGAACAAATTGCTGCACTTCAAGGTCTTTACAAATTATACCTAACAAATTATATTGCCTATGCCATTTTTCTACCTCATCTGAACGATCTGCGGGAGCTGAGCTTACGCTCGTGTCCCGAATTCTTTGAAACGGAAATTTTGGCCGCAAAATTTGTCAGCCTCCAATGTGTTTTCTTCGAACAGGCCAATCTAAGCGATATTTTGCCATTCGTTCATCGTTTGGTGAATTTGGAAAAAATCAATGTCGATCATTTTAAAAATGAAGATAAATCCAATCTCATAGTTGATCTACAAACGATGAATGATGAACGCGAAAAACTTTTCGGTGCACATAAAGTTACCATTTTTGTGGAGGAAAACGTTTACTTGTACACAAAATGGGCCATGAAATCGACTAATCTGACTTTTGTCGAATTGAAACGAAGTGAATCATACGAATGGAGTCATCATTTTGAATACAGCCACCGCAGCTGTTAATAAATTCCCCTGCATATTCTCTTTTTAAAATAATCATTTTCTTCAGTAATATTTGATTAGTCATACGCTTGTGAATTCTTACTTGTAATCAACAAATTGTTTTTGTATTTAAATGTTTGTAAAAATAAATTTTATTTGTCATTTGAAAAAAAAAAATGAACCAATTTCGAATAAATGAAATTTTTGTGAGAAAAAAAAACACCGAATCCCAGCGAAATCACTTAAACCAAGGGGCGAATCACTACTGAATTTAGTGAAAATACTGAAAACAACTGATTATCTACTGAAAATATCTTCTTGATACCTAAAAGTACTGAAAACCGGTTTTCAGTAGTAATTCGCCCCTTGACTTTAACTCTTTTAGGTAATTAGTTCATTTTATTGGCTCTGTCGCCTCCATCAGATAGTCATTAGAAGAAAGGGATATACACTATACAGTTTCCGAATGAAAATTACTGATAGTTTTAGTCCGCCTTACCATCGACATAAAAACAGCGACATATGAATTTTGACTTTTTGTTGGACCACCCTAGTGAATAAGATAGCCTCTTGGACCATTTTACCCAGCTAAAAATGGTCAATGGTGACGCATTTACAATTATCTCAGCGTTTGGCTATATTTCTCAGCATGACTAAAGCATAATGAGATTTGAACAAACATTTTATTTATAGACGAAAAAAGAATAATTTTCAGTAGGCTGGATTTCTTACAGTATACAAATGTGTTCTGATCTTTGCCTAAATTTCAATATAAATTCAGTAAATTGCGGTATATAATACAACCTGTATTTTTCTGCGTCAATTGAAGCTATTTTGATTGTTATCTTTGATGATTCAAAGCTGTTCATAGTGAAATATTAAGAAATCTTGGTCAAATCTGGATGTTGTCTTCGATGATGTAAAGCTGCGAATTGTTCTTTGATAAAATATGGCTTGCGATAACATCAACGATAAACAGAACGAAACACAGAGACTGAATCAGGCTCAATAACAAACAATTCATATCTTTAAAAAAAGAATGCGTGGACGCATCGAATTTCGTCGTAAACAGTACAGCTCATTGAATGTTTCATATCACGGAGGACGATAGTCCGACAAGTGACGCACCATAGACTGTGCATTTCAAGCCAAATATCAAAAAATGCCAGTTTTTGCGTCACGAGTATATATACAGTAAGTATGCTATTTTCTCAGGACACCATTTGAGCCCCGGCATGTTAGGTACCGTTGGAAAGGTCTTGGCCCAAATAGTCGGAAACACCATATCTCCCATGCCTAAAGTGTGGTCTAGGCAAAAATATAGCGGTTGGAAAATTTCGATAAATTTTCAAATTTATACCCATTCCTTACGAAGAGGGTACCCAGGGGGTGGTCTGAGGTGTCCAAGAGAAGCTCCTCCTCGCCACCTTTCCAACGCCGGTCTAAGTGTCCTGATTGGTCCAAAAACGAAAAAGTTATGGGCATTGGCAGTTTGACCATGGTTTTTTATGAAAGTATTGATTTGTGCGTCCGTGTGTCCGGAAACTTTTTTGACCCCCACAGATTCCGGTGCTGATATGCATAAGCTGTAGCTGGTGTCGGGCCACATCGAAACCCGTCCTCAGATTGACATTTGTATTACAGAAGAGCTGGCTATGGCTTCACTAGCCTGCATGTATACGATTTTTTCAAGTATTTATTTCGCACACTAGATCAACTCAGACACCCATCGGGCAAAGAAAGCTCGTAATTATTTGAGAAGACCTTCAAAAAGTTCCATACACACATGCCAATGTTTATGTGATATGAAAGAAAAAAGTCGATTTTTATGAAAAATCGACCCCCTTAAATTTCACACCAAATGCGATTTCTCAAAAATCAGCCCGACAATCTTTTACCAAAAACTGAGAGTTTGTAGCCGGCCACCATACCAACAAAATGGCATATGCTACATATCCGGGAAAATTCGTATTTCGAAGTTCTGGGCATAGGCAATTCATCAATGAACGGAATTTGTACGAAGAGTCGCATTCTACGAAGAAATTGCTGCCGAAAACACGCATCTACTGGCTGGAAAGGCTCACGAAAGGCCATATCCGCTCAATTTTCGACGAGCAATCGATTAAAAGTGGTCACAATGCGATCTGAGGGCATTTCATGGCCGAAGAATAGGTCGGATTGCAGTGAATTTTTCAACTTGCTCTATTTTCACTGAAAATGATATTTTTGTTCGGAAAACACGTGAAATACACCTCTGACGTCGTTTTGGTCTTAGAAAAATGCTATTTTTTCGTGAAAATAATGGGAGTCCACGAACACTTGAATATCCATTTCGTTGTCATTTTGGTCATAAATCGGCATTTTGGCATCTGAATGTATGAAATTGAAATTTTGCTCGGGGGATACATAAAAAATGCACTTTCCAGAGCTTTGGTGGTTGGAAATAAATATTTTTCAATGAAGTAATGGGTCTAAAATTACTTCAAAACTCTTTTAATGGATATTTTGAAATTTAATCACATTTTACAATGTCCAATAAGGGGAAAATGGGACTTTTTTTATGAAAGTGTAAATTTGCTATTTAAGAAACTTGCGAAATGTGGATGCAAATGTTTTACCCGAAAAATTACAATTTTCCAATGATAAGACCTTAAAATAGACATATTTCTGGCAAAAGTGTATTTTTTCCGAGAATAATTGCCTTACAAAAGTAGTGATATCAGATGAAAAACCTCTAGACGAGGTTAAAATGGAGTGACGCTCCTGTGCGTGGATTTACCACTCAAAATGACTGATATCATTTTGAGTGACGCTTTGACGCTGTATTACCTCTGGGTACGAAGTTCAAAAGTGTTTTTCGCATTCACTATTGTGAAAATTTATTTACAATAAATGACAATATCGCGTCACGACTTTTGGACGGCAAAACGTTTGAAAGTTTGACTTGGAGACTAAATTCAAAAGTCGT